TTGTCTTTTAAAAAGTAAAAATGGTCTCATTGTATTTTGTTTGATATAGGCACCCAAGTATGTCATTAGAAAGTAAATAAAGGCCAAAAAATTTCCCAAGGAAGATCATTAGAAAGAAAAATCCTCTCTTCCTCTTATATCGCACAGCTGGCCTTTGAGGCAAGCCAGCTAAGAAAACAGGTATCACCATGGTGACGGGAAGACTGGACTTTTCCCTCTTTGGTTGTAGCTGATTCTATTGGCGGTCCTAGTAAAACATATGACTCCTCATTTGTCCTAAGCAAGTCTTTCTTCAGCTTTCCTTCAAACAATGCCTCTACTCTCCCATCAGAATACGAGGACTTGAAGATTTTGAAGAGCCAGGTTCTGGTTGGGAAGCAGTCTCTTTAAATCATGTGTGAGCTATGCAGAGAGAGGGCAAGAGACGGGAGAATGGCAGGGGAGGAGGAGGAGAGAAAGGAAGAAATGTTCTCTTCATCAGGAGCACTGGAAGGAAGTGAGCTGTTCAAAGTTGTTGCCGGTATCTCATGAAGGCCCAGGCTGCCACCATGGTGAGGGCAAACAGGGGCACCAGCACCACAGGCATGGGAATGCCGCTCGGCTCCCCTTCGCCTCGATGTCCTAGGGGCCCATTTTGCACCTGTAACTGGAAGGGAAAGAAAAATGTTAACTCTGGTGACCAGTGTGTGTTTCCCACAACTGAAAGGTCCGGGCTGACACATGACCTGGGTCTGTCAAAGCTGCAAATCCAAGCACTATCTAGCAGAGAGTATATGTCAGTATCACTGACTCTTTGGAAACAAAAGAAGGCTGATGGGGAGACATTTGCCTTTTCTGTGCTACTGACCTACAGGGACCCCCGGAAATAAGCCAGATAACCTCTTTCTGCTTTTGTACGGCCTCCACCAAGCTCTATGTGTCTCATCTCAGGAAATGAAGATATAAGATGAAGTCTACTGATCCTATAGGAAACCTGAAAATTATTGGGTGGGACAGGGGGGATGTCCATCTTCCTAGAATGTTTACTTAGAAAGATTATCAGTCATTAGAGTGCAATAAGAGCAGATCTGAGCAATGTTATTTAAATTATCTGTTATCTAAGCACAAATTGCACAAGGTGTAATTCCATTATTTTCAACTCAAAAGGCACCCCACTCCCTCCTAAGATGAGGTTGTGTCCTTCCTCCCCTATTTTGTAACACTGGACACAGATAAAGGTGGAACCTGTATGGAATGGAGGCAAACAGAATCAGAGGTAACGAAGTGAAAAGAAATCATATCCAAGCATCAATTTAAGAGAGAATAACTTTAAAGACACATTGAACCTGTGTTGCATATGCCCCCAAAATCTTTGCTATGGGAGGAATTATGTCTACAGGCTTCTCTTCCCATCATTCACATTATAAGACACTAGGAACTAAGAAGTGGATACAGGGATAGGTGCTGTCTTGACTGAATTCTGAATTCCATTTCCGTTTTCCTGGAGCTCAACTTTGAGCACCAGAGCTTTGGTCAGGAGAGTCACCAAGTTGATAAGCAAAGTGTTCATGGAGGTGACAGGGAAAAGCACACAGTGAGTAGGTATCAGAAAACCTACCATCTTTGTACTTAGAGTTTTATAAACAAGAATGTCCAATGGCAGACACATGTTTTCCTTCCCCACTAAAAAAATTGACTGTGGTTGTATACCCCCCCCACACCCCATTTATTTCAATTTGGTTGTCAAGCTTTATCTTTAAAACTAGGACCTGGGTTGCAAAAATACTGTTACAAATGTCCTTTGATGATAAGCAGAGTTCCAGAAGACACCTGCTAGACAAGCTCTTCAAAAGAGTGGGAGTGAAAGGAAAAAAATCCAAACACACCACTGAAGATGACACCACAGGGCTCACTCCCAAGGGCACAAAAGCCTGGGGCCAGGTGCTGGCTGCAAAGGACACAACACCTACCCTGTGCTGTACTCTGAGGGACACAGCGTAGCCTGCATTACGGAAGAGGTTTACAGCGTCCTGGTGCAGCAGGTTCTTTAGGTCTTGGCCATTCACCTGTCGAAAACAGCAAGAAAAAGCAGTAAGAGTTAGAATGTAAACTCTCTGGAGTCAAAGATTTACTTTCATGTGATCAGACATTTAAAAAACAACTCCTACAGAGCAAATTCCAAGGTTTAGGAGAATGAATAATGTCACTTAGAACTCAGTGCAACACTTTTCATTTTCAAAGCTACGTTTTCCTAAAACTGAGTTCCATGGACCATTTGAAGAGCACTTAAGTTTAAATTAAAAAGAACCAAAAACGGTAGTCTCGGCCTGGCCGTTATGGCTCAGTGGTTGGGTTGTGGGCTCGATCCCCAGTAGGGGGCATGCAGGAGGCAGCCAATCAATAATTCTCTCTCATCAATTGATGTTTCTCTCTCTCTCCCTTCTTCTCTGAAATCAATAAAAATGTTAAAAAATAAATATTTTTTAAAAAGGTAGTCTCTTTCTCCTTAGCTCCTATGGCCTATCTCATTTGGACACCTGGAATTCTTTACTGTATTTGTATGTCTTCCATGAGCATCAGTCTGACTTCCTACAGCTAGCATGGTCTTCCAGGTTTATTTCTAATCCCTGGCATTGCCAGCTTCATCTCTAGAAATATAATTACATGAAACTCTCCCACAATTTATTTTGATGTGGTACAAAATCTCCTGGCCCATTCTATTGGTCTTGTTCTACTGTGAACAATTTCCCTTAATTCCATTGATACTCCTATCCTCCTCAAGTTTCTGTGATGATCCAAACTCCTAAGCAATGTTTCACGGTAGATCAGTCCTACCACTTAGGGGTGAGAGATGTGAAGTGCTACTGGTATTACTACTTTCAGTGTCAGGAGTGACTCTGGCCACAGTGATATCTATCCATGCTGCACTCAGTGACACAGCATAGCCTACCTTATGCAAGAGCTGCATATCTTTTGTACATGTTAGTGTCAACGGCAACAGCAGCAAAAATACCTAATATATTTACTTGATAGGCTCTGTGCTATATGCTTTACATTATGAATTATCTAATTTAATTCTCACAATAATCCTATGAGGTAGACACTATTTTTATCTTGTTTTTCACAGATGAAGAGACTGAAGCCTAGCAAGGTTAGGGAATGTAACCCAAAGGCATAGTAAGTGTGGAAGCCAGGGCTAGTGTGTTTAAATACCAGAAGGAAGACTGAAGTGCCCTGCATTTTACTGCTCCTTCTGCACTATTCCTCTGCTTTGACTCACCAACTATTCTCTGCTCAGCTGAAGCTCAGGTCATTGACTTATTCAAACCTCTCACCTTCCTTGTCACAGTGTTCCTTCTCCAGCAGTTCAGAATAGTCCTTCCACTCTGTCTCCTGCCAATATCCTTGGTGAATTCATCTACCAACAGTGTGGCCTTCCCGAATTAACAGTTTCTAGCTCTATTACATATTAGTCACCAAGCGCCATAAGCCTTGGACTTCAACACTGGGCAGTGAATTCCAATCACCAAGTCTTACAGCCCCTTTTCAACCTTGAGACTGCCTCCTCTGTTTTGCAGTTCTCTCCTGTCTTAGTTCTTAAACTATTCCTTTCCTAATTCCTTTCTCCTTCTTTCCTTCTTAAGGCAAGTAAATATTCCTCAATGTCAGTTGTCTTTTGTCCTCTTATTTTTTTCTCCCATGTGATTATTCACAATTTCAACAGTAATCTGCAAGACAACTCCAAAATTTGTATCCCGCCCTAGCTGGTTTGGCTCAGTGGATAGAGCATCAGCCTGCAGACTGAAGGGTACCAGGTTCAATTCCAGTCAAGGGCACATGCCCAGGTTGTGGGCTCGATCCCCAGCAGGGGGCATGCAGGAGGAGGCAGCGCAATGATTCTCTTGCATCATTGATGTTTCTCTCTCTCCCTCTCCCGTCCTCTCTGAAATCAATAAAAAAATATATTTAAAAAAATTGTATCCCTACTTCTATTTCTGGATTTACCTATTTCCTGCTGGGTACCTGCACTTGGATGTTCTGTTAGACCCCACTCAACATTTCCAAAGCCTCTTTATTATTTCCCGTAAAACCGGACTATCCCAACTTTCTTTTATTGCCACTACCATCCTTTCAGACTAAATTTTTGATAATAGTTTTAAACTCTCTCCACTCTGTCAATCTTCACATACAATATATTGGCAAATCCTGTAGTTTAACACAATGACATTCCTCATATGCTATTATTTTGTCTGGTACCTCTCTCTTTAGACTGTGGATACTTTTAGTTGAACTACTGTAATCACCTTCTCTCTGACTTATTTTCCTCTAGGTCCTCCCCCGTACTACCCTATTCAAAAACTATGTCCCCAGACCAATCTTTCTAAAGTATAATTCTGTTTATACTACTTCATGGCTCAAAAACAAAAACAGAAGTTGAAGCAGGGGAGGAAAGCGTGCATGCCTGATTTCTCATTCTGATATGCAAAGTCCTACCTTTGGAACCTACTTTCCCAATTTAATCTTGCATTACTCCCTATCACGTATCCTATGCTCTAGCTAAATCACATAACTCATTACTCTGAGACAAAAAAAACATATATTCTTACTTTCATACCTGTGCTTAAGCTATATCTACTATCTAAATACCCTTTCCTCTTAAAAAATTCTACTTATCTTCTAAGATTGATCTTAAATAGGATCAGTCCTGGTACCCATAGTGTAGAAATGAATACAAGGTTTTCTAATTGATGGACTTTGATTTCATGCTACTAAACCATATTCTGATCATATCTTTTTTTTTTACATATGCCACAGGGAAAAATTTCCAGATGTCTCAATGACTCAATTTTTTTTTTAGTTAATTTCTGGGGAAAGACTGTTGATTGTAGTGAGAATACTCACTTAACTAATTTAGCCTGTGATAACTGTATTTCTCATTTAAAGAAATAGGTATTTATTTCTGCTCAGAGACAAATAAGTTAATGATATAGTCATGTTAACAAATGCCAGATGTCATAGTTCAATATCAGAGCCAAATTTCATAGTAATATGACTGCAAATGAGAGAACTATATGACATTCAATGGCAAGAATACAGAGTTCATCCCTGGCTGGGTGGCTCAGTTGGTTGGAGCATTGCCTTAAACACCAAAAGGTTGCAGGTTCAATTCCTGGTCAGGGCACATACCTAGTTTGCGCATTCAATACCCAGTTGAGGCGCATATGGGAGGCAATCGATGGATGTTTCTCTCCAACATCGATGTTTCTCTCTCTCTCTAAAAAAAATCAATAAAAACATATCTTCAGATGAGGATAAAAAACAAACAGTGAGTTCAAAATAATCTTTGCCATGCCAGTCAGTAATAATTGCCAGGACCCACTGCATATTTATCATCTCTGGAGCTGTCCAGTCATTTTACATGTACAAACTTACTCGGTTTCACAATAGTCCCGTAAGTTAGGAACCCCCATGTTATTGATAAAACTAGAGAGGCTATGCAGCTTGTGCATGACATATATAATGGGAGCAGCAAAGCCAGGATTCAAACTCAAGCTGCCTGGCCCCAAAACCTTCCCTTTAAAACACTATAGAAATTTACACTGTAAGCAAGAATTTTATTTCAGTAACAAATCACCATCCATCACATTAATGCTGTAAATTGAATTTTTTTGATTTTGCAGCTTCATTTGTATCTAATATAGGTTGTCCCCCAAAAATGTATGCACACACTTTGAATAATTATAAAGGCAGTGTTTATTAAAATACATTTCACTTTCAAAATTGAGCTATCAGCTGTTAAAGTGTATATACATTTTTGGGAAGAGACCCTGTATGTAACACACTGAAAAAAATTTAGAGTTGTATAAAAATATAAGGTGTTTATATATTGAAGTAGCGTTAAAATTTAAAAAGCAATTTAGTTAACTGCTACATCACTGACAAGGCCTTTCTAGATGTGACTGATTTGCTACTTTGAATTTCCGTAATATGTAACCATCATAAAGTCAAACTAAATTCTGCCTTATATCATAATCCCTTTATGTACTACTGTAAACATCTTGGAGAGCCTGTATTGCAACTTATCATTATTACCCCTATAATACCTAAATAGTGCGTTGAATAACACTTGAGTACAATAAATGTCACATGATTTTCTGAGGGTTGTCTGCAGAGCACTCCCTGCAAACAGCCATAAATAACTACACGAAGTCTGACGGACATATTCTCAATATGACACAAAGCTGAAAAGCCTGTGCTCTATTAGCAGCTTTACCCACCGATGACTCAATGTGTATGTAATCTTGGTCCTCTGCTGAGCCTCCTTCTGCTAATAGGGAAGAAAGATATTGGTGACACCAGGCAAAAAGAAGGTGCTATACAGGGTACAGGCACATTATGCTAATTATGCCTTTTGACCCTCCTATTTAAGCCTTAAAGGTATCCTAATATAAAAGGACTTTTACTCTATAACTGCTTAAAAAAATAAGCAAATGAAACTCCAAACAAGAGGCCTTTTAGAAATGCAAAGGGAATTTCTTTTTTAAAGAACCATTTTTCATCCTTTGCCCAAGGTAAACCAGCCCTATAAAACAAATTATGATTCTTTCTCTCTTGACAATGTCATCTCTACTCCAAAGACAAATTTGATTTCTAATATTTAGCTCCTCTAAGCGTTTTTACAGATTCCATCTCATTATTGATTAACCACTGAGTTCTGTAAGCTTTACCCCTAAATATATGTGACATCCTTTTTTAAAAAAAATCATCATCTTTACTCATATAGACCAGAGGATCTCAGTGTGGTCCCAGAATCAGCAGCATTAGCATTACTCTGGGAACTTGTTTAACGTGGAAATTATTAGGCCCTATCCTATATTCTATGCTTTAACCAAGCCCTCCAGTTGATCCTGAAGTTTACGTTAGCTCTAACCTAAACTGTCTGAAATTGTCTTCTAACTGGTTTCCATACCCCGTCTACTGACTCTAGATATGTATCTTAATATATACTCTATGCATCCACAGATTTCATCAGTGGTTTTCCATTTACTGGAGTAGTGATTTTTTAAAAAAAATATGGGTCTGTTGACCTATTACAGATGATAGTGAAGGCAATCCAGTAGGTCAAGACCAGTACTGAATTTTTTGAAAGTAAAATTAGAAGCAAACACAATATATCAGAAATCATCACATACAGAATTATTTTGTTAAACTTTGCTTCAACTGTGCATGTGTGTGTTTGTGCGCACATACACACGTATATCTCCTATTACAGTTGATAACTGAAAACGTTTGAAAGACATTTGCCTAGAGCAGTGCTTCTCCTACTTTATTCACTCTCACCCAGGGATCTCGTTATAATGCTGGTCAGGGAAGGTTCCGGAGGCTCTGCATTTCTAACAGGTTTCCATGTGATGGCCAGACAGTCTTGGACCTCACTTCTAGTACCAAGAGCTATTCAAATGAGAAATCTTGGAATACTGCTAAACTTGCTACTTCAGCTTCCAGAATTCATGGCATAGTAAGTTTATTGAACCTGAGATATGGCAGATTTATAATATGCTAGAACATTTTACTAAATGTTCAGAGAATTGGGATAGTGGTGTTCTAGGTGTTCTGATGGGAAAACATAAAAATTTTTGCTTTAACTATGGTTGTTAGCAGTCTTTAAAAATGAGTTTCCTATTTCCTGGAAACTTAGGAAATGAATAAAATGAGTTAAAATTAGTTTTCTTTGATGAGTAATAATTTTGAATTGCCTCCGGATAATCTAACATTATCTCAGGATGTTAGTTACAGGAACTCTATAGGATAATATAAATGTGTATGTAGAAGATGTAGAAAAAAATGGGCTCAATTTAATAAGCACTGGCCTCAGATTACACTCTGGATATTTAAATGTTTAACCAAGATCCTGAAATGAACTGCAATTGGGGGGAGGGGATGTCTCTTTTTTTTTTATCAAAGTTGAAGGGGGGGAAATTATCCAGTTCCAATTAGTCAGGACCAACCAAAAATGTCAATCATGCTATAATTCATTCACAGAGCAACTAACTTACTAGATGCTTACTCTGTGCCAGCTATAGACCTACGAGCTGGGGACACAGAAATGGGAAGACAAAAGTACCTTCTGGAGAGGTACTTTGTCTAAAGGATTCTGTATATTTCAATGTCTCTGCAGCTGATTGGATGAGGATTTCTGCTGGGTCTTTCCTATTGATTTCTAGATAAGGGCAGAAACAAGACTTTCATTTTTTCTTTTAATTTTCCATAGCACCTGGCACAGTGCTCTGCAGGCCAAGTACAATGGTTGATAAATGTTAATGACTACTCAACTCTTTCATTCACCAAATTAATAAGTGTACTTGAAGAGAATATGAAATGCAGCTGACTAATGGCCCAATCTGTGCCATTTTTGTTATCTAAGAGATTTGGTCAAAATGAAACATTCATCTGTGCATTATAATAACCAGCTATATCACCCTGAGTTTATAAAAATGCATAGTTCACTGAGGATTGACTATTCTTGACTACCCACCTCCCTTCATTTAGGCAGACACATGGGAGAAATGAGAAACCTAAACAGATTCCTTTCCCTCCCTCCTCCCACAAAAATGAAACTTCTCCAGATTCTCTAGTAACCTATACAGATATTAAACCATCTTTACCATCACACACAAAAAAAGTGAACTTTGGGTGATGAATCTCCAGTCCTCAGCTCAGCTTCAGGTCTGTTCTTCTATTGAAAATACCTGCTTTTGTTTCATGGTTATCAGATGTAACAGGGCCTTCAATCTTAAATATCATTTACATCCATTAAAGTTTTTCTTTCTTTTCAGTTTAAATCATCCACAGTGATCACACACAAAAATAAATTTCACTTTTAATGAAAAAGGGAAACTGCAAAATGAATTATGCAGTTATTTAATTTAGGAACTTGAAAGTAAGACAAAACATAGGTATTTAGGGAGAAATGCAAAGATTAAATTAATAGTCAATAATACTCACAAGAAATCTAGATCACTTAATGATACTGCTAGTAGTTATCTAAAATGGATATGTGCTCAGGAAAGGGCATATTCTTAGTTTTATTATCTGGCAAAAGTTACAAGAAAGAGTTGGGGTATATTTTACAACATGGACCCATGTGAGGAGAACAGAAAAGCCCATACAGAATAAATGGGAATATAGACTAATAAATAATTTAGCATCATTTTATGGAGACTCCAAAGCCAATAATAAATAAGTACTTAAGTACATCAAAGGGATAAAGTGAGCTAATGCATAGATGTAACTGTTTAAGGATTAATGGATAACTAGTTCACTTTAGGATATAGAGGGAACAGGATGGTGAGACAAGAAAGTCACTAATTCTTAAGGAATGGGATCTAGAGGAATTTGGGAGCAAACTCTGGGAAGGGAAACTGGTCAGTGAATATAAACCTAGACAGAATGGACAGGACAGCTGGCCTTTCCCACCTATACAGGCTCCACTGTTTCCTCTTTCTCGGTCTTTTGTATCTCTCTCCATCTCTGATTGCATATTCCTCTCCTTTCACATGTCTTTTCCTCAACTGGACAGAACATAAGCGTGAATCATTCTTTGTACTGTGTTTTATATATATTTGTAATATTTACTATCTTGTATAGATTTTTGTAATAGTTCTTGTATTTTGATAAAGTGAAATCCTCTTTGCTATAAACTTTAAAGTCGAGCGAGCTAAGTTATTTAGACATCTACTTTTCTCATGACACTTATCTCCTACCCTTTTTAAAAACCTGAGTGGCCTTCCAACTTCTTTCTCTTTGAGGCAATGGCCCATATAAAAAAGGCCCATCGTCTCGGCTTATGTCTAACAAATTCTCTCACATTGAGGTTTATGTCGTCCCCCCCCCCTTATCTAATTTTATCCCTTTATAAAAAGACTAATTTCAGTTTCTATATAAAACCATACCTAAGATCTACTATTAATTCACCATGCAACTTTCTGTTTAGGATAACTAGTCCTAGCTCCTTGTTTACCTGTTAGGAGGCAGTATAGTATACTGGGTAAGAGTACAGGCTCCAAATTCACAGACCTAATTTTAGTCCTCTGCCACTTACTACTTGTGTGACCCTGGGCAAGCTGCTTGACCTTACCAAGCCTCAACTTTCTTAGCTGCAAAATAGGCACAATAATTGTACCCACCTCACAGGGTTACTACAATATTAAATAAGTTTAAAGTCCTCAGCATATTGCTTAGCAAATAGTGCTCAAAAACTGCGAACCATTCTAATTTTTCAATAGGCCTTTAACCCAAGCTTTTCAAACAAGGCTTTCTTCTTAACCCCTATACTTTTCAAGTCCCTCTTATGTCAAAATATTGGACCGCATAGTTTCTAACTACATGCTATACCTTTTATTTTAACCCACTCTCAAGTTTTCCTTTATGTACCACTCAAGTTGATTTCCTATTTTCAGAATGTCTTTCTTCTTGGAGCAGTAGGATATAATCTGCTTCTTAACTTCTCAATATCCCTTGAGATAAAAGGTAGATTATCATTGTCTCTATCTCAACAGATTAATTAATAGGGTCTAGAAGCTTAATGGACTAAAAAGAGGCAAAATGGTCAGTGAGAAGGACTAAAATGGGAAATTACCATTCATGATACTTTATTAATATTCTGATCAGCTAACCTTGCTGGGTTTGCCTGAATTTACTAACTTGTTTTATTTGTTAGATACATATTTAACACTGTGCTAGAATGTAAAAGGTTAAAAAAAAAATCGATCTGGTCCCTGACTTGAGGAACTTCTAGAAAACAATAAAATTAATGGTTACTATGCAGTAAGGGTCTTTACTACAGACATTAACAAAGTTGAAATGGGAGCAAGCACAGTGGACAGATATCCAAATCAGATAGCATCCCAATTCTTTATCATAATAATGGGCGAAAAGGAACTCTGAGTCTAAAAAGAACACTTAGTTCCTACCTTCACTTTTTTGCCACTTGTGGTATAAAGGGAGACATATTAATTTTTTAATCTACAAGGAGGAAGAGGGAAAGTACAATGGAAGAACAACCAAAATTGTGGATTTTAAGTATCTCCCTCTACCAACCAGTCCCTCAACTCTCTCTGTTTCATGTTTTTAAAACTTGGGTAAGTAACTTTACATTCTGGACTTACTTTTGCTTGTCTATCAAGCAAGTTAATATACTCCATATTCTATGATAAGTCTGGAAAAGATGACTGATCAAGGTCCCTCGTATTGAACTCTACAAATTGGATATTTTCTGATCCAAAAAGGCAGGCAGGAATCTTCTCAAGGAAGGGGTTAGGAGTAGGA